TGAATCCTTTCAGATTTTATTTTGTATATATTTATTATTCTTTCTTTCTTTATTTTTAATTGCTTTTGGATTAACTGGGATTTGACGGCAAGAGATAATACTAAAAGGAAGGATGTTCATTGCGCAACAAATGGCGGAGCGACATGGCTATTCATATATGTTCTTAAGAAAAGCTTTAAATGTTTGCTCATTATTTTAAAAAGCGTATTATATATTATATGTAATGCACAATTTTATTTCCAAAGTATTTTTACATTTCTCTTTCTACCTTCAACACAGTAAATAGTGCTGAACTACTCCAAAAAAATATGATATCAGAATTGACTTTTTAGTTTGAATAAACCATCTTTTGTATGCTTTAAAGATTTTATAGGGATAGGGAGAATTATTTTGCATGAAATATTTTCACTTATTACATGAGGAATTTTATATCATTTAGTTGCTAAAACTTTAAAGAATTTTTTTGTGATTTGTGCGCTTTAATGTCCTTAATCAACAAATTCTGTCTAATATCTATAAATTAGAGTTGATACTGGTATGGTATCGCCTTTGTAAAAGTATAAATCAGTTCTTTCTGGTTTATTCTTTTAGAATTCTTACGGTATCATACTTTAAAAATAACTTGTTTTATTATCATTCCCTGTCTCTTTATTTTAAAATTATACTTGATATTCATTCAACGTGTTAAAAGTGAGTTCTTGTAAGACACTGTTAATCTAGCCCAATTTTTTTGTTAGATCAACAGCATGTAATATAGTTTTAGCGTTAATCTGAATTGCTTTGAAAGCAAATCATTCCAGTAATCATATAGTTATAATATAGCACTTGACGATTACTTTGTTAAAGAGATGGAGCAGACTGATAGGTAAAATTTATTGTCAGAAAAATTATGCTTATATAAATCAACTACGAAGGGAATGTGTAAATTAACTAACAAACAAACTAACAAATTACCTATATAAAAAAAGTTTATGTATTTATTCTAAATTGCTCTTGAAAATACATCATTAAATATTTACTAGGTTAGTTATAAATTAACTAAGTGAATCATTTAACCGTCAGTATTTGGTGTAATTTTCCTGTACCCCACAAAAGAGTGAGTAAAGAGTTTGATTTGGTTGATTTGATTTATTGAGATTACGGCAAAGCACACTAAGGCTATCTGCCTAAGGGATGCCTTTGTGGAGAACTTTCTAAGGGAAATTGGCTCGTATACATGTTGCACACGGGAAAAATCACGAAAATGCCTATGTAGCCAGCCCGTTCGCCTGGAATCGAATCCAGGTCGGAACTAAATCTTTTGCGGACATAAGGAGTTATAATTCAGATCGATGCAATTCAGGAAAGAACCGCAGAGTTTTTTTTAAAGCGGAGGAATTGCGTTTTGTCGGACAATTTAAATGCAATGAATGATTTCATTTTAGTTTCAAATACATTGCATTGTTTATAAGGGATTTTACGAGCTTGACATCATCTGTAATAATCAAATCAAGAAATGATAACTGTATGACGTTCTTTATGATATAAAAACTTCAACGATATTCATTTCTCATTTAGCTTAACTATAGTTCATCAGAATAGAATTTATTTCTCACCGATAACCTTTCAGGAGAGAAGTGTGTGCGTCGGGGGAGGGGGTTGCTGGTCCGATGTGCAGTAAAGATGAATTAAGAAAGATGTTGACTATAAAAACATGCTTGAAAAGTTCTTCATATTGCGTGATATTGTCATTTTCGTCTCAAAAGGAATGAATTTATAAACTACCAGCCTAATGCTCTGAAAATTGGCTACAAATATGCGCTTGTCGTGATATTCACTAGGCCGAGTAGTATGCTTTCTTTCAATATATACCACTACAGATGCCATGATAGGACTACGCATGCTTTTTCAGGTTCACAGCTATAAGTGCTTTAAACATCATTTCATTTCAATGTTGCATAATAAATTACAATAAAAAACCTAAAATGTTTTTTAAATTTTTAGTTAACACCTACAAATTTCATTCAAAACACATGAATAAACGATCCCTGAAGGGTTAGGTTAGGTTAGATTAGGTCATTTAATTACGGCAAAGCCTCGAGGGCTATCTGCCTAAGAGGAGGGATGCCTTCGTGGAGGACTTTCTAAGGGAAACTGGCTCGTATAACCACGAAAACAAACATGCAGCCAGCCCGTTCGCGGGATTCGAACCTCGGACGAACTACCAGTGTTCAGCGACTTTACCGCTCGGCCGCTGGTGGGCCCGATCCCTGAAGGGATAGGGAAAACTTTGAAAAGGGGGGCGATGGATCAAAAGAAGCTGGGAAACTAAATAATGATTTAGGAAAATGATATACTAAAAGAGTAATATTTAAGTAAACAATATTTCGGATCTTTTAAAGCATTAAAATTACGTTAATGTGAAATCTGAATAATATTGAAATCTTAATCAGAATCTTTTGTATCTTAATCAGTACCTTTTGTGTGCATGCTATTTGGCTTTCGACTTATTCCTACAGTATCTCTTTTTATGAGACATGATTGATAAAAAATTTCCCTTCCTGCTCAAAAGAAGTTACAAAACAACAGAAAAAACTATTTTTTTTAATATTAATTTAATTTCCGTTACTGAATCTACTTATTATCTGACAGATCTGGTTGAAAAGGCAGTTAAATTGTTAATAGTGTTTTTCTATTAATCAAAATTAGGATTATTCCTCTTTTCTGCTTTTTTTTCCCGACTATCCTCGGATTAAGAGTACTTTCGTGTTAACCGCTCGCTTCGGCCGCGATATTACTGTGATAAAACGGGAGTTAATTCCACTAATTTAACATATTAAATGCTGCGTATGTTAAATTGCTTGCTTTTGGAGCTGCGAACGAGTCCGCGTGAGTCAATCGTTCTGGGGAAAGTCCCCGGACACACTGGTATTACCTACCGCAGGGAAAACCACCTTGTTCTTCTCTCGATCGAACCAAACCGTTACCTATTCTTGACTTACTCTATGTTAATTTTCATGCCAAACATTAAAATACGAAATGAAAATGAATATGTTATTACTTATGAAGATAATATCAGTGGAAAGTTTAGCTCATAAAAAATGCAGGATTTATTACTATTGTTTGACTTTCAGTTTCGAAAGAGTACACTTTCAACACCTACAGCCGCAGGAATGTTTTAAACCTCTTCATTCTTCCACCAAAAGGAGCAAAAATACTTGCTAAGTGGTTAAGGCAACTGAATATTGGTAGTTCGATTCGGCCGCAGGCAAAAGGCATGGCTACATGGTTCGTTTTCGTGGCTTCCTCATGTGTAACATGAATACTTGATAGTTCCTGTTAGGAAATTCTCCACGAAGTCATTCCTCCATTAGACAAAGTGTTTGAATTTTTGCCATATTCAAATAACCTAAACTTCGACAATATGTTCTAATTAGTAGTTATGGTGTGACGTCTGTCTTTTAGTTTAGACATTCGCGTTATCACACATTCTCAAAAATAGCGCGCATTTTTTATTCTGTATTTCTGAGGGAACTTTATTAAATTAATTATTAAAATTCCTTGTTCTGAAGCTTTTAAAATTTACCCCTTCCCCCACATCTTAAATTCCGTTTAAATGATAGAATGGTAGAAACGTAAAAGTCGGAAGTTTAAATTTATGCAATAGAATTGCCCTAAATAATCAATACAAATTGTATATGCAAAGGTCTACGTTCCTACGAAATAGAAAGCTGAAAAAACAGCATTTAAATTATAAATATTTGGAATTATAGTTACTCAAAATGTTATTTAGCTAGAGGTAATATATAAGATATATTAGAGCAAAAAGAATAGTTCTGTTACTAAGAAGTTATTTGATGACTCCTTAATAATGCCTGCGACCTCGAAAAGGGTCATGAACCTATGGACTATTTAAACAATAAAACCATTTCACCTATAAAATACCTATAAAAAGTGCATTGAAAACGTAACGTGTTTCATTTTGATAAAACGATACTTATTTACAGTAATTAATTGAGGCATTTTAGTAGGCTTAATAAAGTTCAAGGCTCGAATTACAACACTTTAGCCCCGGGACGAGCCTCCCCCTTTGTAGCCCCTCCCTAACTCTCTCTATCTCTTTTTTGCGGTAGGATGTTTGTGTGTATGTGTGTGCGACATATCAGTGCAATTTAATTATGCAAAATTTTTAGCAAAATAACCTAATAATTTACTATATTTTCAATTAAAGTTATGAAACTGCATTTTGCTTTTCTTTATATATTTAGTGTCTTTTAATTTATTACGAGTTGTATAAAATAAAAGCTTATACATTTTAAAAATTTATTCCATTTTTTTCGGGGGGGAGGGAGGGGGAGAATTATTTTTGTCGCCTAAAAAAATGGAGTTAAAGATAAGAATATAGATAGTGCTGATTTTTACAGAGGTAAGACCAAATTAAGGACATAAATTTGTTTAGCAATTTAATAATCAAGTATATGATAATGTTTATGGTGTTCAAAATGCCTCATATACACGTAGTATCACCCTCATATACACGTAGTATCATGAGATTCAAATGCGGTGGTGACACAATAGCAGAGAATGGATGTGAAAGTTAGCACTCCTTTACAAATCAAGGCATCACTAAACGATAAATGAGAGTGCAAAGTAACAGTTCATAATTTTCATTTTGAAGATATAAATTTACACTTTCAGAAACATTTGAACGAAAAAAACAGTTAAAAATTTTATTTACAATTAAAGTCTTAAAGATTGTAGAAGAATTTGAGGCACATAAACCTTGAGTAAATCTCTAACCTTGAGTAAATCAGGCCTGATTTAGCTACAGGACGTAACTAGAGATAAAAGGTTTGGGTGAGGGGCTATTTAATGTGTTTAATACTCACCACTTTCTCCATGGCATAACTAACAGAAAATAGTTCTTCTCATTTGAAATGGAAATAAAAGGTAATTTTATTTTTTCTCAGTGAACGGAGAAGTGGAAATAATAACAACAAATGCAGAAAAAAATGACTTACATCGTGGAAATCGGCCATCTCAGTCGTCATGCCTGCGCAGTAGTACGTCCGGAGGCCTTCGGGGGACGGGACGGTCGGTTCGACGACGGCCACGCACACGGACATGGACGCGGCCAAGCAGCTAAGCCTAACGCCGTCGCCGCGAGCGCGCGCGCAACTTCGGAGTTGAGCGCGCGAAGGAAGAGAAGAACGAGAAGTGGCAAATAATGATGAGGAAAAAGGGAACTTCGGAATACACAAATGCGGCGAAGAGAGGGGGGGAAGAACGTTAGAGAGAAGGAAAACGGGCAATTGTGGGGGAGAAGTAGCGGAGGGGGAAGGCTCGTTACATGGCGAGGGGGTGGTCCGACGCGCGCCGCCAATCAAGTGTGCCGCAGGGCGATTCTCCAATGGCACGCGACGCAGTGAGTTCTGCCTCTTCGGAAGGACGCGCGAGGATTCCACGTGCAATACGCTGTCGCGCGGTTTTTTACTTTTGTTTCGTTCTCTCTCCAACGAGTCGAAATCGTGAATGAATCGCCGGCAGTGGTCCGTCCACGCGGCTACCATGGATTCGAAATTTTTTAATATTTTACTTACCTTCGAGATTTTTCTTTCCTTTTTTTTTTTTTTTTTTTTCCTTTATGGATTTTTGAAGCTTCTGCCGCTGATGTTCTGGAAAAAAAGGCGTGTTGTTTCGGCGGCAAGGGGAAAAAATAATTCCAATTTTCTAGACGACTTTGGTGATAGATTCCTCTTTGGATTCTTGGTTTTGCTGCTGTTGGCGGATAACTTTTTTTTTTTTTTTTTTTTTTTTTTTTTTTTTTTTTTTTTTTTCTATCGGATGCGTCTTTTCCGACGAAATCTATATATCGCAGTGTGGTATTAATAGAACTGTTAAAGATTTTGCTCCCAGGGATAAATAGAAGTCTTTTCTAAGTCCTGGTTTGCTCCGAGCTCGTGAATATTAGTATTGATTACAGCTGTTCCGGATTATGTGTTAAAAGAACTTTTACCTTATCTTCATTGAATATCTTTGCTTTAAGGGTCTAAGGTGACCATACTAGAGACATTCAAATATAAATAAAAATTTATAGGCTAAACTTCATTTATTAAGTACAATGAAACATCTTACATACTGTTTTTCTGTGCCATTGGAATACACTTGGTACAATATCCAGGAAGTTTCTTAACTTCCCCAAGAAAAACTTTTGACTGCGGATTGACTCATACTTGCGCGAAATCAAAAGTCTGCTTACTGGACTTGAATGGCACCATTGCGCCCTTATTCCCTTGTATTGATTCTGAAATGAAATACTGTCCTCATATTTCGTTACAAGTTACTGTTGAGATTAAAACTTTTATTTTTCATAACGCTACATAAGTCGTGCGACTGCAACCAATCTTCACTACTTCACACTGCACCAATCTTCACTACTTCTTTTTTTTTTTTTTTTTTTTTTTTTTTTTTTTGTTTTTTTTTTTTTTTTTTTTTTTTTTTTTTTTTTTTGTTTTTTTTTTTTTTTTTTTTAATTTTTTTTTTTTTTTTTTTTTTTTTTTTTTAATTTCTATTTTTTAATATTTAGGCAGTAAAAGACTGAAAGACAGGAAATTTACCTGAAGTTAATCGTGTTGGTGTTCTCACACGATCAAAACATTAGTTTCTTAGCGATTTCCATGATGATGATTCTCCCATCCATCCAAATTAGGGCATCAGTCTTCTCGTCTTCATCGGCTAAGGTTCTAGGCTCGTGACTATGTAGTTCATTTCAGTCATGCGAACCAAGTGGTTTGCCTTCTTTAAAAGATTTACACCAGTAACATTCTCCAGTTTGGGAGGAGAGCTCAACTCCAAACTGATTTTTATGTGTCGAATAAATCTGAGACGGGAGGACACCTTTGCTAGTCAGAAATATCTAATAGTGACTTACAGTGCAACACTGCTGTGGGTCTCATGCTCAGACATGATGATAACTATTAACAGTCTTGATGGAAAGAGAAACAAGCACTACTGCTGACAAGTTAAAACATGTATATGTTTTCCCGGTAAACCACTCGGGAACTTGTGGGACGATGATTAAGCTGAACGCATTACATGCGCAGAGTATGAAAATTTCTGTTTATATTTGAATGTTCCTTGTATATCTCATTTTTAATGGACAATACCAAAGCAATATTCATGCCGCAATAAAATTCTCAGTTTCATCCTGCTATATTAAGTGTAGTATATTCCAGCCTTATGAATGTTCGCTTTATGAAATTTCGTGATGAATTTAAATTAGTATCTAAATTAGTATTAAATTAGTATCAGTCGTTTCAACTAGAAAAAAGAATTCGACAAGAATTTTCGCTGTTGTAAAGAAAAATGATATGTTGTCAACACTTTTTTTATGCAATGATCGTCAAACAATTTTACTAATTATGTGATATCATAAGGATGTAAGGAAGATGTGCGTGATTTTTAATTCCTTAAGAATTGAGCAATTGAGTATATCAGCCAGAATACAGCACTATATGAAGATATTACTGAGCAAGATCGATCAAAAAGAGAAGGCTAAAAAAGGCTTCGGCAACAACAACGCATATTAGAGTTCGCAACTATTTTATGAAAATGTTTCTCTTTAGAGTATATGTAGACACCGGTTTCTTTTTTGCTTTACATTTTTTATGTATAAACTGAAGATCCTAAAGAGGCAAATGTGCTCATTCAACAATAAATCAGTAAAGAATTCACTGCATTCTACAAAAAGGAAATTATTATGTTAATTCCATTATTTTCCATTTCAAAGAGAATTCCTTTCTTTAACTATTCCACTTAAATATCCATTTTCTTTTGTTTTCTGAAAGAAGATCTATTTACGCCTATTGTGCAGTATACTGTCCTCGATAGGCTGCGGAATCTTTACCAAAGGAATCAAAACCCCTGTAGAAGACGTGGGTCTGGACGCCGGAGGATTATCACAAAAGCAATAGATCACTTTCTGTTGCTATGTGCAAGATGCCGTATAACCGTACAAACAGCTGGCGTCGCATCTCTCTGCTGCTGCAGGACGGCCCATATCCTGCTAAATCGTGTCACGTCGGCTGCAAGAAGGCGGACTGTATGCCCGAAACCTGTTGTTTGTGATCCTTTGTCCCCATCGCATGTCAGAGCTTGGCTGAATTGGGCCCGTGAACATCGCAGTTGGACACCAGAGCAGCGGCTCCAAGTACTGTTTACGGATGAGCCTCTATTTAAGATATCGCATGTCAGAGCTTGGCTGAATTGGGCCCGTGAACATCGCAGTTGGACACCAGAGCAGCGGCTCCAAGTACTGTTTACGGATGAGCCTCTATTTAAGATATCGCATGTCAGAGCTTGGCTGAATTGGGCCCGTGAACATCGCAGTTGGACACCAGAGCAGCGGCTCCAAGTACTGTTTACGGATGAGCCTCTATTTAAGATATCGCATGTCAGAGCTTGGCTGAATTGGGCCCGTGAACATCGCAGTTGGATACTAGAGCAGCGGCTCCAAATACTGTTTACGGATGAGCCTCGATTTAAGATCCAGTACAATTCCCGAACGGCGATGATATGATAAGAGCGAGAGACAAGCTATCGGGTGCCAAAGATCGTCGAAAGAGACCATTACAAAAGAGGAGGCTAACTTACATGGGCTGGGATAGCAACGAATGGTCGCACCGACCTCTACGTGATTCCTGGTGGTTACATCACAGCCGTCCGACATCGTGAAGTTCTCTTCTGAGTACACCCTATTGTGCGTACTTTTATCACTGCAATGGGTAGTTGATGCTATATATATGGGCAGTGACACCCAACCGCAAAGAGTTCGAGTGGTGTGGAGTTATCTGGAGAGTGAAACCATTCCACATCTCTCGTGTCCTGCTAGATCACAGAACTTGAATCCCAGAGAGCATGTGGGGGACAGATTGGAACTATGGATAGCAGGTAGCAGGTGTTGTCAGGTATCTCCGTGAGCTCTGACATTCATTACAACAGAAATGGGCGTTAAAGTCCCAACAAACAGTTAACGCAACTATTACCAGTTTGCTTCGCCGTTGTCAAGCATGCGTTTCAGTTAGAGGGTATCATACCTATTATTAGCGTGATGCTTCCTTTGCACGTTCTTCCAAGCCATTTGGTCTTTAGTGATGTGATGGTCATAATTTATGCGTTTTTCTATGGCTTTGTTTTATGGTCTAGTACTGGCACACAACCTCTTGGATCAATATCACACATATACATATATCCATTATTATTATTTTTTTTTTAAATTCCGTGTTTTGCCTTTGTTGCTTATTTTTTAAGCAGCAGTGTAAGTTAGGACAAATTCACTTTTCAGAAGCTAAACTGCCTTTCTAAACGACTGTATGAAACCAAAAAATATAAAGGAAAAGAACACATGAAAATAAAGCAAGTAATTGCGAATCTTCATGAATTTGCTTTTTCACTCGTTTCAGAAATTTAAGGTAAATATATGCATTTACATCAAAGCTTATTTTTCCAGGCGATCCTCTTTTCTTTGACTCTCTATGTTGTATATTACTGAGTTCAACCAGTAAATGAAAAATGATTAAACCGTGTGAACATTTTGTAATTGAATAAATTTAGTCTATGAAAACAGATTTAGGTTTAATTATTATAATTTCTTTACAATTAGCAGTGGCGTAGCTAAACATTTTGGGCCCTTACGCAAAACTTAATACATATACATCTTCTTAAAAAATTATCATGATGTAATGCACAATATTGTGACTTTTATTTTCAGCTCTTCCCCTTTGCCGCAGAGTTTTTCGTTTTTGAACAATTTTATAATGAGATTTCTGCCATCAACAGGCCTTTCTTCTATTTGCTTAGTTTCACAAATAAATAAAGGAAATAAAATGAAGATTTTCACAAGAAATTTACAAAACAAGCTGAAGTAGATTACGAAACTTTTTTTTTTTTTCCAGTTTAAGCATTTTTGATGTTTTGTCCTAATAAATACGAAAATTTTAATTTATAACATATATAGAATCATTTCGGTTTATTTTGGAATAGGAAACGTGAAAATCAACAATACCTCGTCGGGATTCGAACGTCGGATATCCGACTGCTAATGTGACATGCTTCGAGTTATATCACGAAAGCACGCTGTGAGGAAAAAGAAAATTATTTACATTCTTCCACGCTCAGAGAAGGACTAGA